CACACACACACACACTCAAGTCTCAGCTCAGTCCTGCTTTTGTGAAACAGGCCTCTGCTTCATCGCGTCACCAGAGCTTTCAGCCACATCTCATGTCCTTCCTCAGTCGTCATGTGATGAACAAAGAAAACGAACTTCAGTCTCAGACATAAATTCAGACTTTTGACTTTGATTCCTTCAAATTTTATTTTCTGAGATGAGAAGACAAAACGTGCAGCTAAAATAAAATCAAAGACAAGACGATGATCCAAAAATGGAGAAGTTTTGATATTAAATACTAAAGTTTAACGTTTCATCCTTCTTCTCTTTAAAAATGTCCCGTTTCATCCCGCGAGCAGAGAGCCAATCACAGCGTCTCATTTGTTTACCCCTTTGGGCTCCATAAACACCAGCAGACTTTAAACCTGATGGAGGATCAGTTTCAGACCCGAGGAGACAGAACCTGCTCCATCCTGGGAGCACGTGGTCCGATGTGGTCTACAGCGCCCCCTGTGCCACCCTCTTGAACAGCTGCCGCCGCTGCTGGTCCGTCATGGTGTCGCAGCTCTGCAGCAGGTTCGCGATGACGAGCGTCTGCTGGACGCTGGAGGACTTGACCCACAGGCGCCCGTTCATCCCGACCACCAGCTCGCAGGGGAACAGCTGCTGCAGGTCGGACCGGACCTCGCTGCGGGGGGCCAGCAGCCTGAGGGGGGGCAGAGGGGTCAGTACGGGCCATCCAGTCCGAGGACCGCGACACCGACACGCTGTTCCTACCTTCTGACCAGTCCCAGAGAGACCGTGAAGAGCAGACCGCCGCCGCCAAACACTCCCATCCCATTGGCTCGTCCTGAACTGTCCATACACACCAGCTCCGGCTCCATGTCCTTATTGGCTATGATGAACTGAGCGAACACCAGGTCCCCCACCTGCACAGGTAACACAGAGAGAGAGAGGGAGGGGTTAAACACCTGCACAGGTAACACAGAGAGAGAGGGGGAGGGGTTAAACACCTGCACAGGTAACACAGAGAGAAGGGGGAGGGGTTAAACACCTGCACAGGTAACACAGAGAGAGGGGGAGGGGTTAAACACCTGCACAGGTAACACAGAGAGAAGGGGGAGGGGTTAAACACCTGCACAGGTCACACAGAGAGAAGGGGGAGGGGTTAAACACCTGCACAGGTCACACAGAGAGAAGGGGGAGGGGTTAAACACCTGCACAGGTCACACAGAGAGAAGGGGAGGGGTTAAACACCTGCACAGGTAACACAGAAGGGGGAGGGGTTAAACACCTGCACAGGTAACACAGTCGGTCCTCAGGGTCTCACCTGGACGTTGGGCCGGTTCCTCTTGGTGGCCCCCTCAAACGCCAGGTAGGACAGAGACGCCTGCTCACTTCCTCCAAAGTCCACCTTGAAGACGTCTCCTGATTTGACCGTCACGATGCCGATGACGGTCTCTCCTTTAGCGGGGACATACTGAGGACAGAGAGGCACACACTCAACTCCCAGCATGCAATGCTCCGGACCAAACTTTGTTACCATCTGCTGTGTTTTACATTTAGCACTAAAGTCACAGCCTTTTACTGGGAAATCTGCTGAACTCCATTCAAACAGAAGGCAATTTAGAATTCAAACTAATTTGGCTCGATGTGTTTTATTGTCAGAAAAAAAAAGAATACCCCTCGTCATGGGGCTGGGTGTTGTGAGTAATTCGGCGTACACTTTATTCACCGAGCGGCACGTTATTACTGATTAATCTAAAGTGTTCAGACTGGTTCCCGCTGCTCGCTGCCGTAAAGCGCAGCGCGCTTCAGCGAGCTCGGAGACGGATTTAAACAGCGGACCTGATCAAAGAAGTTCAACTTTAAGAGCTCAGTGCGAGACTTGCTAACAATATCTTTGAGCCGTAATCCCGACCGATCCACAAGGACTTTGATTCAGTCTAAAGTTCTGCCACAGGAGGCGTGTAGGTGTGCTGACAAGAGAGAAAAGCTTAAATTGCTTGTTTTCTAAATGGAGTCCTGCGTGAAGCAGAAGCTACTGTAAATAGTGACAGTAAAACGTTTCTAAAGTGGTCCCAGGGAGCCCCCCGTCTCTGAAGTCTCACCCTCCTCTGCTGAGAGTCCATCCAGAACATGTTGGGCTGTTTGTGTCGGAGGACCCCGCTTTTACACACCACCAGCCGGTCTCCGCTCCGCCGCAGACCCGGACCACACACCACCTTCTCCCGCTTCACGTGCTCCGTCAGAGAGATGGTGTCGTCGGCCTCAAAGGAGAATTCATCTCCAGGTAACAAAACCTCCCCGACTTTACCTTTCAGACAGGAGAACATGTCGACCGCTCTGCTGCTCACACACGTTGTTGTTGTTGTTGTCCGGACAGGAATGAAGGTGACACACGGGAAACAGTTTGTGTTCCTTAGGTAGACAGAACTTAATAAAATAATAAATAATTATTATTTTTGTATGATAATGAAATATTGTCTTCAGTTTAGATAAATGAGGACTTCGATTCTTTTGGAAAGAAATATAATATAAAGTAAGAAAATATTCAACTGATTCTAAAAGAAAAACTGAAAAAGTTGATATTTAATTTTTGGTTTACTTGTTCAGCAGCTTCAGACAGATAAAGATCAGATCAGCTGTCTATAAACTGTCAGAAAGCTCCAGACGTTTTGTTCAGTTTCCTCACAGAAAGAAGCTGAATCAGAGAACAAAATAACTAATCGATCAATCGTTGCAGCTCTAGTTTTAATGTGACTTGATTTAGATTATTTAAAGTTTCTGACTTTGTGTTCTGATTAAATCCCATTAATTTATCTTTATTTATTGTTTGCTTTGACTTCCTGTCCGGTTTATTTAACTTCACGGAGGTGTTTGTTGTTTGAAGGTGTCGCCGCCGGGTGTCGCTGTTTCTGTTCCTGACGTCCTGATCAGTGTTTGATCAATAAGAAACATCCTGTAGCTCCTGAGGATCATCTGACTGTAACATTTCACTGTTGAATATTTAAATGCAACTTTATAGATATTTATAATCTGTTACAAATAAAACAAACTTTCCACGTTTAATCATCTTTTATTCTATTTGATAAAAGCTCCATGACCAATAAAGAGGAACTCTTTGAAAAACATGATGAAAAACAATCGGTCCATGAATCAGATTATATAAATGACAAATTTCACAAACTGCTTACTTTAATCAGTTACCAAAATAAAAGCACAGATCATTTCCTGTTTACAAATTAAAAGCCCCACATTGTGAATTAAAGTCGGAAACTTTTCTTTTTATTTCAGACGACACGATGACGTAAAAAATAACCGACAGTGAAAATGTTTCATATTCATTCATTTCTGTTTCCTGTCTGGTACTTCCTGTCCAGACAGAGGCTAATTAGCATGAAGCTAACTGTACCATAGAGTTATTTGGCTCCTGCTGAACCTCAAACTAAATAAATAAAAAAATAGAACTAAGAGAATCCAGGAGAGACATCAGCCTGGGCGTCCAGCTGACAGATGCATTATGGGTACTGTAGTGTCGAGCTGTGATCCGGCGCAGAGGGAGCGCTCGTTTCGCGGCGAGGGACATCCGGCCGGGCCCCGCAGAGTCTGCTTTTAGGCCAAACCTTCATGAGCGCCAGCGGTCGAACGTCCCACTGAGCCGGGACACGTGAACGCAGCACGGCTGAGGAGAGACAGACAGGTGAGAGGGTCAGTGTGGCGTCACTGACCACCAGGTCACATGACTGTAGCTACAGCTCTTTACCTGCATGCAGCTTTAGGTGGAGGGGAAGCTCCCAGGATCCACCTGGTTCATCTTCAAGTGGGTGTCGAGGATCTGGAAGATCTCCTGGATGTTCGGGACGTAACCCGACTGAAGCTTGGACCACACGGGGACGTCTGAGGGAGCAAAAACAGCGTCACACCAGGAAGGAGCAGTCAGAGAGAGAGGGGACAGAAAACAGCGTCACACCGGGAAGGAGCGGTCAGAGAGAGAGGGGACAGAAAACAGCGTCACACCAGGAAGGAGCAGTCAGAGAGAGGGGGGACAGAAAACGGCGTCACACCAGGAAGGAGCGGGGACAGAAAACAGCGTCACACTGGGAAGGAGCAGTCAGAGAGAGAGGGGACAGAAAACGGCGTCACACCAGGAAGGAGCAGTCAGAGAGAGGGGGGACAGAAAACAGCGTCACACCGGGAAGGAGCGGTCAGAGAGAGAGGGGACAGAAAACAGCGTCACACCAGGAAGGAGCAGTCAGAGAGAGGGGGGACAGAAAACGGCGTCACACCAGGAAGGAGCGGGGACAGAAAACAGCGTCACACTGGGAAGGAGCAGTCAGAGAGAGAGGGGACAGAAAACGGCGTCACACCAGGAAGGAGCAGTCAGAGAGAGGGGGGACAGAAAACAGCGTCACACCGGGAAGGAGCGGTCAGAGAGAGGGGGGACAGAAAACAGCGTCACACCGGGAAGGAGCGGTCAGAGAGAGAGGGGACAGAAAACGGCGTCACACCGGGAAGGAGCGGTCAGAGAGAGAGGGGACAGAAGACAGCGTCACACCGGGAAGGAGCGGGGACAGAAAATGGCGTCACACCAGATTGTGTGCTGAATTATTTTGGTGAGATTTAGAACATTTGACTGGCTCAGATATTAATTTCTGATAAAAGACTTTATATTTTGAACTTCTTGACCTTCTTTGGAAAATCTTACATTCACAAACGTTCATTCAAACGTTGTCTTGAAGCATCACCAGAAGAGTAAAAGAGTTTAATGTGCTGCTTGTTACTGATGTGGATCTGTCATCTTCTATTCTGTTGTTTTATTTTGGCTGCAGATTTTCACTTGACATGAAGAAGATTTAAGAATAAATCAGTTGGACTTTCTGCACCTCAGCCTGACCTTCAGACGGAGGCTGCTCCATTCTGACAAATCAGGATTAGTGACTGACTTGGAAACTTCATGCATTCATTGAGCTTTTAAAACTGAATCATTTTTTTAATGATCCAAAATCAAGTAGGAAAAAGTAATCAAACATTTTTAACTTTAAACTGCGTCTTCGAGCCAACAGGAAGCGCGTGTGTTCGCGCCGAGCAGGGCAGGGTTTGAGTTGACGTCGACAACTCGTAACGTTACAACGCTGAAATTCAACAGTGGCGTTCCGTTCAGGAAAGTGCCGGCGCTGCTGATGTCAAACATACAGGAACGATTTGACTTCAGCTGTATTTGAAAAGAATTAAGCATCCGAGAATTATTGGAGCGATTTAGCAGGAAAATGCACAGAAAATAAGCAAAGCCTGCAGGAACCCTTAAACCAGAGGAAATGACGTCATGGAAAATCTGAACTGTGCGACTTTTCCTTTAGATGGTCGAGTTTATTTGACATCGCTCATACCGGTTCCTGAACGATGCTTTTTTCGATTTTTTATTCTCAACAAACGGAGAACCATTGTTGTTTGTATAAAGAAACTTAATTATCACATTATTATCATTAATAGTAATTAATGCTTTTAATTAATAAAATAGTAATAATTAAATGCAACTGCTTGTTGAAAACCAAGACATATTTTCAATGTAACAAAGGCCTGTATTGTGTTTATTCCTTTCTCTTTAGTTTTTATGTCATTTCATTGTTTATTAATTATATATTTTTTATTGTTTATGTGAATTTGTGCTCTGGCAACAACCTCAACATTCATGGCAATAAGCCTGAGAGAGAGAGAGAGTTTCTGCCACTACATATCACTAGAGGACGAGGTGTCCAGGAGACAACTATCACAAGCGCGTCTTTAATCCAGTGCAGCAAAGTCGCAGACATCAGCCCAAGGATCGGTACGTGATGTCACCGCCACACGGAAGCGCTTCCGCCGGCTGCACTGTGGCGGTGGCGTCACTTACTGATCCTTCAGAAATACTTGGGAAAATATGGCGTGTGTGGAAGCTACTCTGTCAACAAAAGAGCTTTGATTTGATTCAGAAAACAGCGACGCTGCCGCCGAGCTACTGAGAAATGTAGGTAAATTAGTAACGGCGCTACTTGTTGCAACGCTGCTCGTACGGTGGGCATGTTGAAGCAGCTCGGTGACAGTAGGGCGCTGAGACGACGACTCTGTCTCTGTCTTTTTGCAGCAAAGACGAAGCAACTTTCTGCTCTTAAGTTTATTCCACGCACAGTCAAGGTTGGTCGTGTCGCAAATATTGATTAAATCGCGCGCTGTTGCATCAAGCCACACTTTTGATTTTCTCCACGTCTTTTACATCCACGAGCCACGTCTCTGTGCGTAACCGGCGTGAACTCGTGTTTACATCACCACAGCCAATTACAATCACTTTTAGATTTCGGCACATCAAGAATGCCGCATGCTTATTGGCTCATTCGCGTTAACAAGGACCTTTAGGTATCGAACTTTGGTACCGCAAGACGAGACATTTTTAGATACTCGATGGTATTGAGGCAATTCGGTCGGTGCCTAAAAAATATTGAACTCGAGACGCAGCCCTGCCGCTGAGCCACGTGAAGGAAGTGGGAAGGAGGAGGGAGGAGCAGGTACTGTAGAAAAGGCCTCTCCCCCACCTCCTCGTCCAATCAAAACTCACCGTTTAGCGTGACTTCGAAGGCCCCCGTGGACAGGAAGTGCGTCTCCATCATGTTGCAGAAGAAGAACGCCATCAGACAGGAGAAAATCTGAAAAAATGTGTGTGTGGGGGGGGGGGGCACATTAAACCCGTTTCCGTGGCGACCATCTGAAGCATGCGTTGCCGTGGCGACTGGTACCTTGTTGTCCTGACTCCAGGTCCAGGCTCTGGGCGTGTCGAGGCCGAGGAGGACGAAGGGGTTCTGGCCGCTGACAACGAGCAGGATGGCGAGGAGCTTCAGGTAGGAGATCAGGTTACCGACACACCTGAGGGGAGGCGGAGCCGGTTTGTACAGGTGATTTCACTTCATGTCAACAACAACATGACATCACAGGTGAGAGCTCACCTGTTGAAGGGGGTGGGGGGGTAGTTCTCTCCCTGGATGCGGATGTCCGGGTACAGCTGGCTGATGGACCGGGAGTACTCCTGGAACACCTTACTGTAGCCTCAGGAGATACTGACACACACAGAGGACACACCTGTCAGGTGAGGGCTTACCTGGCCCGCCACGACGCTAGAGTCTGACGGGAGCGAGATTATTATTGAAGCTAACTGTTAGCAGTTAGCTTCCTCTGACAGGAGCGAGATTATTATTGAAGCTAACTGTTAGCAGTTAGCTTCCTCTGACAGGAGCGAGATTATTATTGATGCTAACTGTTAGCAGTTAGCTTCCTCTTACAGGAGCGAGATTATTTTACGAGGCTAACTGTTAGCAGTTAGCTTCCTCTGACAGGAGCATGATTATTACTGATGCTAACTGTTAGCAGTTAGCTTCCTCTGACAGGAGCGAGATTATTTTACGATGCTAACTGTTAGCAGTTAGCTTCCTCTGACAGGAGCATGATTATTACTGATGCTAACTGTTAGCAGTTAGCTTCCTCTGACAGGAGCGAGATTATTATTGATGATAACTTTTAGCAGTTAGCTTCCTCTGACAGGAGCGAGATTATTATTGATGCTAACTGTTAGCAGTTAGCTTCCTCTGACAGGAGCGAGATTATTATTGATGCTAACTGTTAGCTTCCTCTGACAGGAGCGAGATTATTTTACGATGCTAACTGTTAGCAGTTAGCTTCCTCTGATAGGAGCATGATTATTACTGATGCTAACTGTTAGCAGTTAGCTTCCTCTGACAGGAGCGAGATTATTATTGATGATAACTTTTAGCAGTTAGCTTCCTCTGACAGGAGCGAGATTATTATTGATGCTAACTGTTAGCAGTTAGCTTCCTCTGACAGGAGCGAGATTATTATTGATGCTAACTGTTAGCTTCCTCTGACAGGAGCGAGATTATTTTACGATGCTAACTGTTAGCAGTTAGCTTCCTCTGATAGGAGCATGATTATTACTGATGCTAACTGTTAGCAGTTAGCTTCCTCTGACAGGAGCGAGATTATTATTGAAGCTAACTGTTAGCAGTTAGCTTCCTCTGACAGGAGCGAGATTATTATTGATGCTAACTGTTAGCAGTTAGCTTCCTCTGACAGAAGCATGATTATTATTGATGCTAACTGTTAGCAATTAGCTTCCTCTGACAGGAGCATGATTATAATTGATGCTAACTGTTAGCAGTTAGCTTCCTCTTACAGGAGCGAGATTATTTTACGATGCTAACTGTTAGCAGTTAGCTTCCTCTGACAGGAGCGAGATTATTATTGATGCTAACTGTTAGCAGTTAGCTTCCTCTGACATGAGCATGATTATTATTGATGCTAACTGTTAGCTCGCTGTTAGCGCTTCCGGACTCACCAGTACTGGAACTTGAGCACGGGCCCGGTGTACATGGAGGACTTGCCGGGCTTCCCGGGCTCTAAATCCGGCGGGGTGTCCGGGGAGAGGCCGGGGCTGTCGGCCTGCTGGTCTCCTCGCTGCGCACTCGATCTACCGAGATAAACGTCCCGGACCGTGAGGGCCGTGAAGAGGAGCAGAGCCGCCAGGAGGCCCGCCTGGCTGAACTCCGCCATGTCTGCTGTGGTTCAGCAACAGAAGGGGGACCGGTCTGTCCGGGAATACCAGGATCCACTACACCACTTCCGGGGGACATTTCACAATAAAAGAGCAGAGAGGTTTTTGTCCTCTGGTGGAAAGTAACTAAATATATATATATATATTTTTTTTAGTTACTGTGTTTAAATACTGCTCTGAGGTAATTGTACTTCGCTTGAGTATTAATTCTTCTTTTGTACTTTTTACTGCATTAATACGACAGTACAAACTAAACATGATGTTTTTTTAATTGATTAAACGGACCAACAGAACATAAAGTATTTAAAATGACCTCCAGCTCGACCAGCTGCGAGATTAAAGGGCTTCTTACAAACATCTGTGCGTCAGTAATAATTGTCTAATAACAAAAGTTAACATAACTCATTGGGCTACATCCTTAACGAGCACTTTTAGTCTATAATTAACAAAGGAAAGGAAATTCAAGGGTTAACTGGACTCTGGTGAAGATTTATAATTTATGGACATTTGTGACTTTTGTGCTTTTACGTAAGTAAAACATTTACTTGTTGTGGAGTATTTGTGTTGTTTTGCTACTTGAAGTAAAGGATCAGAATCATGAATAATTTGGGATCTAGAGGTAAAAATATCTTTCTTGTTTTCCTGTTCTTCATGTGTTTTATAAATGCTACATTTAATAAATCAAACTGGTTCAGGGATTAATTTCATGAACGTATTTGTGTCATTTAAAAAACAACTCTAATAGAAAGAGCACAAACACATTTAATGAGAGTTTATTCTGCTGAGCTTCATTATTGAGTATTTCGTTCTTTTATGGTGAAGTTCTGTGACCTGTTTCCGGTGTGGTTGGGGGAAGTTTCCTGTAAATCAGCTAATTATTTGCCGTTTCCTCTGAAACATGTTGTTTATTTTCTCTAATCTGTTTAATTTATTTAGTTTATATCGTTTTTATTTAGTTCGGTGAGACGTCACAGACGCGCGACAGTAAACAGCGTGACGTCATATGCGTGGGACGGTGGATGGAGGGGCGAAGGTGACGGAACACACATGCACAAACGCAGATTTAAAGATTTCTTCTTCTCCGCTCCGACACGCGGACTGTTCTCGCCGCACAGAGCCGGCTCACCTGACGGCTGACGTCACACAGGTGCGTTCACGATTGATTGTGAACTGTGAGTGTGTTTCAGTGAAACTTTCGCTCAGGTGAGCCAGTGCGTTGATGACGTAACTCGGGGTCTTATTGCCCTTTTTATTGATTGTTGTTTATTTAACGATGAAACGCTCGAACTTTAACCTGACTGAAAACAAAAGAAAACTCTGAAAGTAAAAAGTCGAGTCAGTTTGAACTCGCTGAACGTCAGAAGCGTCTGATGGTGGCGGAGAAGAGCTGAAAATAAAAGGGAGTGAGCGAATCTGATGCCCTGCGTTCATTTAATGAATGGTCTGTCTGTGATGGTCTGCCTCGGTCTGTGATGGTCTGCCTCGGTCGTTCTGTCTCGGTCTGTGATGGTCTGTGATGGTCTGCCTGTGATGGTCTGCCTCGGTCTGTGATGGTCTGTGATGGTCTGCCTGTGATGGTCTGCCTGTGATGGTCTGCCTGTGATGGTCTGCCTCGGTCTGTGATGGTCTGTGATGGTCTGTGATGGTCTGCCTGTGATGGTCTGCCTCGGTCTGTGATGGTCTACCTCGGTCGTTCTGTCTCGGTCTGTGATGGTCTGTGATGGTCTGCCTGTGATGGTCTGCCTCGGTCTGTGATGGTCTGCCTCGGTCTGTGATGGTCTGCCTCGGTCGGTCTGTGATGGTCTGCCTCGGTCGGTCTGTGATGGTCTGCCTCGGTCGGTCTTGGTCTGCCTCGGTCTGTCTTGGTCTGCCTCGGTCTGTGATGGTCTGCCTGTGATGGTCTGCCTCGGTCTGTGATGGTCTGCCTCGGTCGGTCTGTGATGGTCTGCCTCGGTCGGTCTGTGATGGTCTGCCTCGGTCGGTCTGTGATGGTCTGCCTCGGTCTGTCTTGGTCTGCCTCGGTCTGTGATGGTCTGCCTCGGTCGTTCTGTCTTGGTCTGTAATGGTCTGCCTCGGTCTGTGATGGTCTGCCTCGGTCTGTGATGGTCTGCCTGTGATGGTCTGCCTGTGATGGTCTGCCTCGGTCGTTCTGTGATGGTCTGCCTGTGATGGTCTGCCTCGGTCGTTCTGTGATGGTCTGCCTGTGATGGTCTGCCTCGGTCTGTGATGGTCTGCCTCGGTCGGTCTGTGATGGTCTGCCTCGGTCGGTCTGTGATGGTCTGCCTCGGTCGTTCTGTCTTGGTCTGTGATGGTCTGTCTCGGTCTGTCTTGGTCTGCCTCGGTCTGTGATGGTCTGCCTCGGTCGGTCTGTGATGGTCTGCCTCGGTCGTTCTGTCTTGGTCTGTGATGGTCTGTCTCGGTCTGTGATGGTCTGCCTCGGTCGGTCTGTGATGGTCTGCCTCGGTCGGTCTGTGATGGTCTGCCTCGGTCGGTCTGTGATGGTCTGCCTCGGTCGTTCTGTCTTGGTCTGTGATGGTCTGTCTCGGTCTGTGATGGTCTGCCTCGGTCGGTCTGTGATGGTCTGCCTCGGTCGGTCTGTGATGGTCTGCCTCGGTCGGTCTGTCTTGGTCTGTGATGGTCTGTCTCGGTCTGTGATGGTCTGCCTCGTTCTGTGATGGTCTGCCTCGGTCGGTCTGTGATGGTCTGCCTCGGTTGGTCTGTGATGGTCTGCCTCGGTCGTTCTGCCTCGGTCTGTGATGGTCTGCCTCGGTCGTTCTGTCTTGGTCTGTGATGGTCTGCCTCGGTCGGTCTGTGATGGTCTGCCTCGGTCGTTCTGTCTTGGTCTGTGATGGTCTGTCTCGGTCTGTGATGGTCTGCCTCGGTCGTTCTGTCTTGGTCTGTGATGGTCTGCCTCGGTCGGTCTGTGATGGTCTGCCTCGGTCGTTCTGTCTTGGTCTGTGATGGTCTGTCTTGGTCTGTGATGGTCTGTCTCGGTCTGTGATGGTCTGCCTCGGTCGTTCTGCCTCAGTCTGTGATGGTCTGTCTCGGTCTGTGATGGTCTGCCTCGGTCGTTCTGCCTCAGTCTGTGATGGTCTGTCTCGGTCTGTGATGGTCTGCCTCGGTCGTTCTGCCTCAGTCTGTGATGGTCTGTCTCGGTCTGTGATGGTCTGCCTCGGTCGTTCTGCCTCGGCCTGTGATGGCCTGCCTCTGTCTGTAGCACATCCCTCCGAAAGATGGTCTGACACTTGAACTGATGATTTTAGATTTATTGGAAATCTCAAAACCAACGTAAGAGCTGGTCACAAAATAAACAACACAAACAACAACCGCATTAGCTACCTTACCATATAGTTTCAGAGCATTAGCATAGTTTAGCACTAACTCACAAGCCCAGTATTTGCACAGCTATAAACAGCCACAATTGTTCAAACTACTTCAAAAACACCACCCCGATGTTAATATCACAGTATTATGATAAATACTAACCTTGTGCCTCTTCAAAGGGGTGCTAAAACATTAAATCTTTCACTGTGTGTGCATATTACAGTCTCTCCGTCGCAAGTAGCAGGAAAACTAGTTACGGTGCCAGCGGGTGGCTTTCAAAATAAAAGCACCTCTAGTCAGAACAGGAAGTAAGACACTAGGGCTTAAACAAGGTAAAATACTTAATAAAGCCTACTGAAATGACTGTTCAATAATAATATTTCTTCTGTAGAGCTAAACATATACTGGGTTATTTACACGGTCGTTCTGTCTTAGTCTGTGATGGTCTGCCTCGGTCTGTGATGGTCTGCCTCAGTCGTTCTGTCTCGGTCTGTGATGGTCTGTGATGGTCTGCCTGTGATGGTCTGCCTCGGTCTGTGATGGTCTGCCTCGGTCTGTGATGGTGTGCCTCGGTCGGTCTGTGATGGTCTGTCTCGGTCTGTGATGGTCTGTCTCGGTCTGTGTTGGTCTGCCTCGGTCGTTCTGCCTCGGTCTGTGATGGTCTGCCTCGGTCGTTCTGTCTTAGTCTGTGATGGTCTGTCTCGGTCTGTGATGGTCTGTCTCGGTCGTTCTGTCTCGGTCTGTGTTGGTCTGCCTCGGTCGTTCTGTCTCGGTCTGTGTTGGTCTGCCTCGGTCGTTCTGCCTCGGTCTGTGATGGTCTGTCTCGGTCTGTGATGGTCTGCCTCGGTCGTTCTGTCTTAGTCTGTGATGGTCTGTCTCGGTCTGTGATGGTCTGCCTTGGTCGTTCTGTCTTGGTCTGTGATGGTCTGTCTCGGTCTGTGATGGTCTGCCTCGGTCGTTCTGCCTCGGTCTGTGATGGTCTGTCTCGGTCTGTGATGGCCTGCCTCGGTCGTTCTGTTTCGGTCTGTGTTGGTCTGTCTCGGTCTGTGATGGTCTGCCTCGGTCGTTCTGTCTCGGTCTGTGATGGTCTGTCTCGGTCTGTGATGGTCTGCCTCGGTCGTTCTGTCTTGGTCTGTGATGGTCTGTCTCGGTCTGTGATGGTCTGCCTCGGTCGTTCTGTCTTGGTCTGTCTCGGTCTGTGATGGTCTGCCTCGGTCTGTGATGGTCTGCCTCGGTCGTTCTGCCTCGGTCTGTGATGGTCTGTCTCGGTCTGTGATGGTCTGCCTCGGTCGTTCTGTCTTAGTCTGTGATGGTCTGTCTCGGTCTGTGATGGTCTGCCTCGGTCGTTCTGTCTCGGTCTGTGATGGTCTGCCTCGGTCGTTCTGCCTCGGTCTGTGATGGTCTGTCTCGGTCTGTGATGGTCTGCCTCGGTCGTTCTGTCTTAGTCTGTGATGGTCTGTCTCGGTCTGTGATGGTCTGCCTCGGTCGTTCTGTCTTGGTCTGTGATGGTCTGTCTCGGTCTGTGATGGTCTGCCTCGGTCGTTCTGCCTCGGTCTGTGATGGTCTGTCTCGGTCTGTGATGGCCTGCCTCGGTCGTTCTGTTTCGGTCTGTGTTGGTCTGTCTCGGTCTGTGATGGTCTGCCTCGGTCGTTCTGTCTCGGTCTGTGATGGTCTGTCTCGGTCTGTGATGGTCTGCCTCGGTCGTTCTGTCTTGGTCTGTGATGGTCTGTCTCGGTCTGTGATGGTCTGCCTCGGTCGTTCTGTCTTGGTCTGTCTCGGTCTGTGATGGTCTGCCTCGGTCTGTGATGGTCTGCCTCGGTCGTTCTGCCTCGGTCTGTGATGGTCTGTCTCGGTCTGTGATGGTCTGCCTCGGTCGTTCTGTCTTGGTCTGTGATGGTCTGTCTCGGTCTGTGATGGTCTGCCTCGGTCGTTCTGCCTCGGTCTGTGATGGTCTGTCTTGGTCTGTGATGGCCTGCCTCGGTCGTTCTGTTTCGGTCTGTGTTGGTCTGTCTCGGTCTGTGATGGTCTGCCTCGGTCGTTCTGTCTCGGTCTGTGATGGTCTGTCTCGGTCTGTGATGGTCTGCCTCGGTCGTTCTGTCTTGGTCTGTGATGGTCTGTCTCGGTCTGTGATGGTCTGCCTCGGTCGTTCTGTCTTGGTCTGTCTCGGTCTGTGATGGTCTGCCTCGGTCGTTCTGTCTTGGTCTGTGATGGTCTATCTCGGTCTGTGATGGTCTGCCTCGGTCGTTCTGTCTTGGTCTGTCTCGGTCTGTGATGGTCTGCCTCGGTCGTTCTGTCTCGGTCTGTGATGGTCTGCCTCGGTCTGTGATGGTCTGCCTCGGTCGTTCTGTCTTGGTCTGTCTCGGTCTGTGATGGTCTATCTCGGTCTGTGATGGTCTGCCTCGGTCGTTCTGTCTCGGTCTGTGATGGTCTGCCTCGGTCTGTGATGGTCTGCCTCGGTCGTTCTGTCTTGGTCTGTCTCGGTCTGTGATGGTCTATCTCGGTCTGTGATGGTCTGCCTCGGTCGTTCTGTCTTGGTCTGTCTCGGTCTGTGATGGTCTGCCTCGGTCGTTCTGTCTCGGTCTGTGATGGTCTGCCTCGGTCTGTGTCGCTCTCACCTGATGATGAAAATGAAACGGTTTTACTGATCGTTTGTTTTCTTTAAGTTCAGGACAGATTTACGATCCTAAACTTGTCTTTAATCCTGTTTGTCTCTTCATGTTTCAGGGGGGGCCGTCATGTTGACTGTGGGGGGGTTGGCGAGGTCTGGCATCCTGCAGCTCCGCCTCCTGGAGCTTCCTTTACGAGAAGTCTGTTCTGCTGCTTTCAACAGGAAGTCACCTTCACCTTTTCACAACTGCTCTGCACCCCCATCTGCTGGACTCCCTACAGTCCACTGTTATATGTCAACTGTCAGGACGGCACCAGGTGACAGGACGCTGTCACGTGTTGGAACGCTGTCAGGTTTCAGGACACTCACAGGTCTCGGGACAACATCAGGCCTCGGGACGCCGTCAGGTGTGAGGAGGCTCTCGGGTGGTGGTGTTGGTGATGACGGTGCAGGTGCAGCCGGCTGGTACAGCAGCCTCTCGGACTCGGCTCCTGTTCACCTGTGTGAACACTTCCTGGTGAGCGTGCAGCAGGCGAGCGGGCTGCCGTGGTGGCTGAGCATCATCGTGACAACACTGTCGGTCAGGACGCTCGTCACTCTGCCGCTCGCCGCCTACCAGATGGTCGTCATCGCCAAGGTGAGTGATGGCTGACAGGACGGGAATGGTTAACTGGAGCTCTGGGTATAGTTTCTGTTTGAAAACTGAAACTTAATTGATTGTTGAAACAGCTGCAGATGGAACTCAGCTTCAGTTTCTTTATATATTTATTTACTGAGCAACATAACAACGGGTCTCTGAGCTCACTGAAGTCGAGTTAGTAACATGCATTAATGGGTGAGGTTGCATACAGAGGGAGAGAAACACGAAGAGAGAGGAGCTCAGTGCATCATGGGAAATCACCCATGAGAGTCTTAATGGACTTTTTCGAGCAGCCTGATAATAAGGAATTGCAGTAATCCAGCCTAGAAGTAACAAATGCATGGACTAGTTTTTCTGCATCATTTTTAGACAGGATGTTCCTGATTTTTGCAATATTACGTAGGTGAAAAAAGGCGGTCCTTGAAATTTGCTTAATGTGAGACTTAAACGACATGTCCTGATCAAAGATAACTCCAAGATTCCTCACGGTGGTGCTGGAGGCCAGGGCGATGCCATCCAGGGAAACTATATCTTATGATAATGCGTCACTGAGGCGCTTGGGCCCCAGAGTTTAACTTCAGGACTGAGAGCCACAGACAGGAAGTCAGACAGGTCGCTGGTTTGAGTCTGAACGTGAGATTTGATGATGATGGTAAGAAAAATGAACACCAGAGTTTTAAACCTGTGAACCTGAGATTAGAAACATGCACAGCAGAATGTTCTGGATACGTCTCTGTATATATTTTATTTATATGTGTTACTGTATTTTAACACGCATTTAATTATCTGTTAAGTTCTGTGTGTGCAGCATGAAGGGACTAAAACTTTTGTTTCGTGACCTTGAAGGTGGAGGCGCTGCAGGAGGAGATCTCGCAGCTGGCGAAGAGGCTTCGATACGAAGTTTTAGTCCGTGCGAGGGAGAGACGCTGGACAGAGAATCAGATCCGGTAAGAACTAAACGTTGTTTCACCTGTCAGCAGGTAAACAAAGGCCAACAGGGCAGCAGCACCCCTGAACTCTGAGATGGTTTTGAAAATAGAACCAGGGGTCTGCACCACGAAGCAGGATCTGAGCTTATCCAGGTAACTTCAGGGTTAACCCTGCTGGGTTTTCACCTGTTACCAGGGTAGATCGCCATGGTAACTCTATGAAAACGCCAGATGCTGACCAATCGGCTCTCTGGAAAATGACATCACCATCTGTAGGAGATCCCATCATCCTACAGAGACTGATTAAAATCCTCAGGTTCTTGTTGCCTGAAGGTTTTTACAGTAAACCTACTAACTGTTTGTCTTTAATATTGTGTATCTGCTCCCAGCCCGTTTCACACAGCCTGTCGCAGCCGTTAAAATAAACAGGGTTCATTTTTCTGATGTGAGCTGAATATTAGGAGCAGTTTGGTAGGAATATTAAAATACTAACTTTAATATGAACGTAGGCTGTTTGTTTTAGGCCGACTACAGAGACTGTAGTCATGTTCCGCCTTCTGCGACGTGGCCGCAGTGATGAGGAGAGTTTTCAGCAGCGTGAATGTTCACATTCAGTCTTTCAGCCACTATCTGAACACATTTTATGGCATGAATGGATTTTTGGTTTCGTTGCTTTAGAACAATGTAGTCATGTATTGGACCATGTATTGTATTGGATATTTTGGACCCGGTCCTGTTTCTGCAGAGTTACACTTTGCTCTTTGTGAAATATGACGCTCTGCTGACGGGGGACTTGTTCATGTCTGTGATTGGTCCTCTGCTGCTGACTCCGCCTCTGTCATGTGAACGCGGTCCCGGCTGGGTCGGGAAACTCTGGGTTGACTTACTGATTTGATAACCAGCTTCGTGGTCCCGCTTATCCTGACGGGTTCGGTTTAGTGAAGCTGGCTAACTGGAAGAGATCCGGGGTATGTTGAACTCGCTTCGTGGTGCAGGCCCCTGGTCTAATGTGGTGTGGACTAAGCACAGAGAGGAACAGGGGAGGAGGAGAAGAAGAAGAGTGAAGTAACCAGGCTGGATTTACACAAGGATCTGAACCAGGACCTGAAGCGGTTAATGCAGCTTTGTAGAACATGTGTCACATGTCTGTTTCAGGCAGGTCCTTGTTTAAAGGGAGCCACAACGTCATGAATGACGTCTGTCTGAAACAAACACGGTGGAAAGACAAGAACCTGGTACCAAAGGTCTTTAAAGAGTCCAGGATCTGAGCAGAACTGGGTTACGGGTCAGTAAAGTATCACATCATGCTGTTGTGTTGTTCTGTTCAGGTTCCAGTTCAAGAAGAATCTGCGTCGAATTGTTTCTCAGCTCTACGTCAGAGACAACTGCCACCCCTTCAAAGCCAGTCTGCTGGTCTGGGTTCAGCTGCCCCTGTGGGTCAGCTTCTCCCTGGCCCTCCGAAACCTGAGTCTGGGCCAGTCCAGTAAGCTCACACTGACCCTGGATAAGTCCTGGACCAGGACTTTGTTTCTGTAACTAACTGTGAACTGTGTGTTCTGCAGCGCTGCAGTCTGAGCTGGCAGCAGGGGGCGCTCTCTGGTTCCCTGACCTCACCTTACCGGACTCCACCTGGATCCTACCGGTCTGTCTCGGACTCACCAACCTGCTCATCGTAGAGGTCAGTCTGTTCAACGTGCGTGTGATCACCTGACCCGATGATGTCATCTACCCTGACCCCCCCCCTCTCTTCTTCAGGTGTTTTCTCTTCAGAGGGTCGCCCCGTCTCGCTTCCAGAGGTTTGCGACGAACGCCATCAGAGGGTTCTCGGTGCTGATGGTCCCCATCGCTGCTACGGTCCCCTCCGTGAGTTCAAGTCTGCCGGTCTGTGTGGGAGGGAATCAGAGCAGCTGATTAGTTCAGTTTGAGGGTGCAGAGGGACACCAGGTTCAGGTGCAGACACCAGGTTCAGGTTCAGGTGCAGACAGCAGGTTCAGGTTCAGGTGCAGACACCAGGTTCAGGTGCAGACAGCAGGTTCAGGTTCAGGTGCAGACAGTAGGTTCAGGTTCAGGTGCAGACACCAGGTTCAGGTGCAGACACCAGGTTCAGGTTCAGGTGCAGACACCAGGTTCAGGTGCAGACACCAGGTTCAGGTTCAGGTGCAGACAGCAGGTTCAGGTTCAGGTGCAGACAGCAGGTTCAGGTGCATACACCAGGTTCAGGTGCAGACAGCAGGCGCAGGTGCAGACAGCAGGTTCAGGTGCAGACGACACCAGGTTCAGGTTCAGGTGCAGACAGCAGGTTCAGGTGCATACACCAGGTTCAGGTGCAGACAGCAGGCGCAGGTGCAGACGACACCAGGTTCAGGTTCAGGTGCAGACAGCAGGTTCAGGTGCAGACAGCAGGTGCAGGTGCAGACAGCAGGTTCAGGTGCAGACAGCAGGTTCAGGTTCAGGTGCAGACAGCAGGTTCAGGTGCAGACAGCAGGTTCAGGTTCAGGTGCAGACAGCAGGTTCAGGTGCAGACAGCAGGTTCAGGTGCAGACAGCAGGTTCAGGTGCAGACAGCAGGTTCAGGTGCAGACAGCAGGTTCAGGTGCAGACAGCAGGCGCAGGTGCAGACAGCAGGCGCAGGTGCAGACGACACCAGGTTCAGGTTCAGGTGCAGACAGCAGGTTCAGGTTCAGGTGCAGACAGCAGGTTCAGGTTCAGGTGCAGACACCAGGTTCAGGTTCAGGTGCAGACAGCAGGTTCAGGTTCAGGTGCAGACAGTAGGTTCAGGTTCAGGTGCAGACACCAGGTTCAGGTGCAGACACCAGGTTCAGGTGCAGACAGCAGGTTCAGGTTCAGGTGCAGACAGCAGGTGCAGACAGCAGGTTCAGGTTCAGGTGCAGACAGCAGGTTCAGGTGCAGACAGCAGGTTCAGGTTCAGGTGCAGACAGCAGGTTCAGGTGCAGACAGCAGGTTCAGGTGCAGACAGCAGGTTCAGGTGCAGACAGCAGGTTCAGGTGCAGACAGCAGGTTCAGGTGCAGACAGCAGGCGCAGGTGCAGACAGCAGGCGCAGGTGCAGACGACACCAGGTTCAGGTTCAGGTGCAGACAGCAGGTTCAGGTTCAGGTGCAGACAGCAGGTTCAGGTTCAGGTGCAGACACCAGGTTCAGGTTCAGGTGCAGACAGCAGGTTCAGGTTCAGGTGCAGACAGTAGGTTCAGGTTCAGGTGCAGACACCAGGTTCAGGTGCAGACACCAGGTTCAGGTGCAGACAGCAGGTTCAGGTTCAGGTGCAGACAGCAGGTTCAGGTGCAGACAGCAGGTTCAGGTGCATACACCAGGTTCAGGTGCAGACAGCAGGCGCAGGTGCAGACGACACCAGGTTCAGGTTCAGGTGCAGACAGCAGGTTCAGGTGCAGACAGCAGGTGCAGGTTCAGGTGCAGACAGCAGGTTCAGGTGCAGACAGCAGGTTCAGGTTCAGGTGCAGACAGCAGGTTCAGGTGCAGACAGCAGGCGCAGGTGCAGACAGCAGGCGCAGGTGCAGACGACACCAGGTTCAGGTTCAGGTGCAGACAGCAGGTTCAGGTTCAGGTGCAGACAGCAGGTTCAGGTGCAGACAGCAGGTTCAGGTTCAGGTGCAGACAGCAGGTGCAGGTGCAGACGACACCAGGTTCAGGTTCAGGTGCAGACGACACCAGGTTCAGGTTCAGGTGCAGACAGCAGGTTCTGAACCTGAACCTGGTCTGACTGTCCTCAGGTTTGTGTTGGATCAGCTGCAAATACTTTAATTAGCAATTCATCTGCAGATTCTTTTATCCATTTATCGTTTTGTGTATAAAATGCTTTGGTTCCCACAACCCAAGGACCCGTGTTCAGACCCGTGTTCAGACCCGTGTTCAGACCCGTGTTCAGACTGAAGGTTCTGACCCAAAGATGTTCATGTGTTTTATTGTATTGAAAGTATTGCTGCTGTCTGCTGGGCTTGACTCCTCTGATTCTAAAACCAGTTTGTTCTCTGCCCCCCCCCCTCTCAGTCCATGGCTCTGTACTGGTTTGCCTCCAGTTTGGTTGGATTCAGTCACAACCTCCTCCTTCGGTCTCCTGCGATCCACAAAGTCCTGAAACTCCGAACTCCCAGCTCAGACTCTCCATACAGAGACCTGCTGTCTGCCTTCATCACCAAATACTGCAAATAAATACACAGAGTACTGGAAGTACAAATCAAATACCCCAACTGTAAATAGTCTCAGCTACAGTCTGCCCTGCCCTACAAGCTGAAGGGGGGGTTTATATATATTTCTGTAAACTACCTGAACACCGCCATGTTTGTAGTTCTTCTGTAAATCCAGTGAAAATCCTTAAATGGGACCAAAGGAGTTAAAAACAACGTTTCCGTCACCAAAACAGACATTTTCAGATCTAAATGACCAAATAAATGAAGGAGTTTTGTTCATTATTTCTCTGTAGAATCAACTGATGACCAGCTTATTATTTATAATAATTTATAGTCCAAATAAAACTGGCTGTTCAAGGTGTTTACTGCAGAGATGGAATTTTCGATATGAAAATGTCTGTTTGGGGACATAAATGTTGTTTTTAACATTTTACTTTGGGACCATTTAAGGTTTTTCACTGGACTTGAGCTACTGAGATTTACAGAAATACAAACGTGGCGGAGCTCTACGGTCTCTGGCCATCAGAGCGTAGAAATCCTCTCACAGTGAGAACTTGTGATGCAGACACGTGTTGACTGATTGTGTTAATAAAAGCTGTTTTCTGTCTGAACGTTAAAGTTTCGTCTCTTTTATGGATAAAATCGATCGTTAACATTAAACTCTGTGACGTTAAGAGTTAATCTGTGATTCTCTGTGTGAGCAGCTTCATCCTGTTTGAACAATAACAGGAAGAAACAGCGTGACCTCCGACCCCAACATTTCCTGTTTGTTAGTTTCCCACCGACAAGCTGACGCTCAGGAAGTCCAAACGTCTCGACATCGTCTCCAGAACCTCAGCGGGCCGTTTTAAAGATGATCTTTTTTACCTGACGGGAAACCACTCACACTGCATCAGAAGACAGTAGAGTGGAACTGGACTATTCTGGACTGGACTGGACTGGACTGTCTGGCTCCTCCCCCTCAGGCTGGAGGGACTACACAATCCCACTCAGCTAAACTACATTAACCAGGCCGTCTGCAGTAAAGCCATCCCAGAGGCCCCGCCCCCTCGTCCTGTCACTCACTTCAGGGTTGCTGATGCTGGTCTTGTCATCACTACAGCTGATCAGATTCTTCAGATTCAACCTGGTTCTGCTTTTAAGTTCATTCATTAGGACTCTGAAACCACCTGGAGGACTTTCACGTCCTCAGTGGACTCAAACACAGACAGAAAGAAAATACTGGACTGGTTTCAGAATCTGACCTGTTGGCCTTTGTTGTCTGATAAGTTCTTAATCTTTATGGATCAGTGAACACGTGGAAACGCCTCCTCTCTGAAAACACAAAATAAAAAGTAGAAAAGATGAAAATTTAAAATTCTTCATAGAATCAATCTGTTAATCCGTTTCCAACATTCATCCAGACCTTTTCCATTTTAATTAAGCTCCTTTTGTTCTGCGGGATTTAGTGATCAGCTGATATGCAGACGTCAGAGTGACGTGTTGTTTCAGATCCATCTGATTATTGATGAAGCAGAAAGCGTTAATCAGAAAGTTCTCAGTAGCTTGTTCAGTCAGAGTTCCTCCTACTCTGGGATCAGGTCTTGGTCTAAGAGGCGGAGCCCGCAGAGAAACGGCTCTGAGTTTGCAGATCAGGTCTCATTGAGTTCAGACCGCGACGCTGTTCGGATCCACATCAGACCACCATGAGGTCTTTCGCTGTCTTTCTGTGTCTGGTTCCGGTTCTGTCGCTGCCCTCGGTCCTCCCGCTCCGGTCCTCGGCGGGTCCTGGCTGCGGGCCGTGTGACCCGTCTCAGTGCGCTCCTCTCCCGGCGGAGGGCTGCCCCGCAGGCTCTCTGCGGGACTCCTGCGGCTGCTGCTCCGTGTGCGCTGCCGCAGAGGGAGAGCTGTGCGGCGGCCGCCGCGCGGCAGCGCGTCGCTGCGGCTCCGGACTGGAATGCGTCAAAAGCGACGCGGACAAGAAGAACAAGCTGGGCGTCTGCACCTGCAAGAGCAACCACCAGGTGTGTGGGACAGACGGAGTGACGTACAGGAACGGCTGCGCACTGAAGAGCGCCAGCCTGACAGCACAGACTGAGAGCAAAGAACCCATCAACATCCAGAACAAAGGCCGCTGCCCCACAGGTGAGACACACAGGTGACTCTGTGAGACACAGGTGAGACAGCCAGGTGACTCTGTGAGACACAGATGAGACACACAGGTGACTCTGAGAGACACAGGTGAGACACACAGGTGAGACACAGGTGAGACACACAGGTGACTCTGAGACACACAGGTGAGACACACAGGTGACTCTGAGACACACAGGTGAGACACAGGTGAGACACACAGGTGACTCTGAGACACACAGGTGAGACTCAGGTGAGACACACAGGAGACTCTGAGACACACAGGTGAGACACACAGGTGACTCTGAGAGACACAGGTGAGACACACAGGTGAGACACAGGTGAGACACACAGGTGACTCTGAGACACACAGGTGACTCTGAGACACACAGGTGAGACACAGATGAGACACACAGGTGAGACACACAGGAGACTCTGAGACACACTGGTGAGACACAAGTGAGACACACAGGTGACTCTGTGAGACACAGGTGAGACACACAGGTGACTCTGAGACACAGTCTTTGTGCTAAGCTAGGCTCGTCTTTTGACTGAAAGCAAAACTTTATTTTATTTTGTATTTTATTTGAAGTCATATTCAAATGAACAAATAATTTTTATCATTTATAAAAGTCAGTTTTTAATTACAACAGAGTTTAATGATAAGTGAAACTGGTCCGTTCTTCTCTAGAAACCAATAAAGTTTAGTGGAACATTTCCTCGTGTTGCTTCTCTGTTAATAATATTACCCAGAGTTCTGTGTGAAACATGCAGTGATTTAACTCTGTGATGAAGTTTGAACATTAAAACTCTGTAAACAGAAGTTCAGTTTACATCATATTTTCAGTATTAATCAGAGAAATTTTGCTTTGTGTTTTTATGGTTGAACTGAAGTTGAACGGGTTCCTGTTTACCCCGCTGGCAGTAACAGACAGTGAGGGATGATAATCCACCTTCATCCCTCTGAAAACACTGAATTCCTTTCTACATGAAAACCCACATCGAGCACGCTCACAGCAAACTGAATTCCTCTGAGTCACCGAGGGTTTTCTCTCTGATGGATTCCTGCGACCTGTTTCATCCTGTTTCAGACTGACGTGCAAACGTCTCTGCAACCAAACTTCATGTTAATAATCCTTGATTTTACTGTCTCTGACCTGTGTGTCTCTGTCTGTCTGCCTGCAGCTCCGCTCATCGTCACTCCTCCAGGTGAGGTCTACAATGTGAGCGGCTCTCAGGTGTACCTGAGCTGTGAGGCGGTGGGCGTGCCCACACCTGTCCTCACCTGGAAGAGGGTGAGTTTTTCTGCAGCTCATCAGTTACTTTAAAAAGAGAAACATCAGGTTGTGAAGAGAAAAGTTTCACCTCCCTAATAAAATAAAACTATAAATATAATCTTCAGAATTTGCAGCCCGGCTGCAGGATGAAATATAAAGATTTGATTCGCCTGAGCTGCGGCGTCGCAACTCTACGTCCCTCTTCCTGTTTCTGCTCATTTCCTGTTTCCTGCTTGTAGAAACAATAAGAGTCTGCTGAGCTCCACCTGGAAACATTAAACAGGAAATAAAATCTGTTTCACAGCCAAGAGGCTCTAATGTTAAACTAGAGGAACAGAGGGATGGAGGGAAGAAAGGTCTTCAACAGGTGACACATGGAGATATAACCTGAGACAAACGCACCAATCAGAGGACAGCAGCATCATCAAACTAACTTAATGAGGTCTGCTGATTCATTATTTATTTACTTATCAATCAAAACTTTAACAAGTTTAAAAAAGTAAACAATATTAAAATAAGTAGAAGAATTTGATATATTTTTTATATTAAATCAGTCGGCTCACATTTCAGGTCGATTCATGATGAGACTCTGTTTGGAACAAAGAGTCAGCTGATCCTGTAAACTTTATCACATGTTAACGTTACACGTATGAGACATTCGGTTAGCAGTTATCAATCTGCGTCCCTGTGAGAGTAAAGCTGTGGGAACATCAGGTTAATTAGAGGTGAGACAATGATGATGATGCTCAATACTGAGTCACTTTGAACATTTAACACTTAGTTTCCTGCATTCTGGAGACATTTTCTGCATCGATTTATCACAGAAATGTTTTTCTTTATATGAAGGGAAACACTGAATTCAGGCGGAATATGATGCAGTAATCAGCAGCTTGTTTTTTTTTAGCTGACGTTGCTTTTTTAGTTAGTTTGTTTCTTCTGTACACATTGCATGTATTTTCTCAAAGCATTTTCTTTTGTTAGTTAACATTTCTTTTCACTATTTTTCAGAACATTTTCAACAATTGCTTTGTTAAATGTTCCCAGCGTAAATGACACCTGTGGCATCAGACGTTTGATAACGAATGTTTGGGGAAATCAAAGCAATGATGTAAATAAAAAGTCTCAGACAAGCGCCGACACATAAAAATATTAATAAACCCGGAAAATTTCAGCCTGAAACTTCTAGAAACAGGAGTGTGACAGTAAGCATGTGGACGGCAAGCAAAACAACAACAACAAACCAAAAAACAAAGCGAGGACAGACCTGAGCAGCAGGACAACAGTCCTAAATTTAGCGCTTTTTAAACTTTGGTTTCAGACGTCCTGAAGAAAATAAAAGTTGTTCAATGTTTGGAGATACTGATGTTCTGACTGAGCTGTAGCTACAGAGGGCTGGAGAGAGGCCAACACTTCTCCTGGTGAGCTCATGTTACCTGCAGCCTCAGGTGTTCCAGGTGTTCCAGGTGTCTGTCAGCAGGGCCTCCTCTGCAGGTCCAGACTCAGTTTGTTGACTTTAGATCAGATCGACTAAAGAACGAGCTGCAGCCTGTTTCTGATTCTCCAACCAACTCAAACCTTAAAGCGGCAGAGACTCAGTGCTGCTCTGTCCGAACTCCTGATGATGATGATGATGATGATGCTGGGTGTCTTCCTTCAGGTCCTCAGTGGGAAGAAGAGGATGGAGCTTCTTCCTGGAGACAGAGACAACTTGGCGATTCAGACGAGAGGAGGACCAGAGAAGCATGAAGTGACCGGCTGGGTGCTGGTGAGTGACACACATTCATATATATCTGTACAGAATCTCACAAAGTGAGTCCACCCCTCACGTTTCTGTAAATATCTGATTCTATCTTTTCATGTTCAACACTGAAGAAATTACACTTTGCTCCAATGAAAAGCAGGAGTGTGCAGCTTGTAAATTTGATGTCCCCTCAAAATAACACATCACAAAGCCATTAATGACTAAACCGCTGGCAACAACAGTGAGGACACCCCTAAGTGAAAATGTCCTGATTGGGCCCAATCAGCCATTCGTTAGTGTTACCAGGTCTCAGGTGTGAACGGGGAGCAGGTGTGTTAAATTTGGTGTTACCGCTCTCACACTCCCTGATACTGGTGACTGGAAGTTCAACATGGCACCTCATGACAAAGAACTGTCTGAGGATCTGAAACTAAGAACGGCTGCTCTACGTAAAGATGTCCGAGGCTATAAGAAGACCGCCAAGACCCTGA